GAATCTCTTCATCATGGATTTTAAGACAGGTCTCCAGATGCCGGGTTTCCATAGATCCATAACAGAAACCCATATCAGCACAAATGGATCGGATTCGGAATCAGCATCAAATTACACATAACCAAGCGGGTTTGAAAGTAAAACCGATGAATCACTTGGAGACCTTCCCTCGTCAGACACAATAATAACTTTTTCCGTGAAAAGAAGAACAGTTTTTCTTTTTGTAAGAGTTATGATACCAATGTTGGTACCAAAGGTATTCAATTATCTGGTGGACAACGACAATGTATTATTTTAGCTAGAATATTTATTCGTAAACCAAAAATTCTATTGCTTGATGAATGCACAAGTGCTTTAGGTAAGATCGAAAATTTTTCTATTCGTTCGATAGTAGTATACAATAATTTCTCCTTTGTTGTTTAGATGTTGAAAACGAAAAAGTAACTTTAATAAAAAGAAGTACCTTCCTTTCAAATTCTTCTCTGTTACTTTTTCTAGAGTGTTGAACAAGCACTTATGCGTGCACAAGAGAATCGTACAACAATCATAATCGCCCATCATCAATCCGAAATAATAAAACAAGTTGATGAAATATGCTTATTGCACCATCATGGTTATCTATTCAAAATTGCAAAATATGAACAATTAATGGCTAAACATGGTCAGTATTTAGATCGATGAGAAAACAAATGGCCTTAAAAATAAACATTATTTACTTTTCGTTATTGGATAAATTTTACTCTTTTATTTTTATGTAGCCTCTATACAATGTTTTTCATTTTGCTTATTTCACCATTCAAGAATATTTCCGTGTGTCGACCTGTACTTGTTCTAATTTAAATGCCATTGTTGTTTTCAAACTTTGGAAACAATAATAGCATTTACAATTAAAAAATCTGGCTTTGAAAGCTAGATATCTTTATTGTTCCAGTAATAAGCTGCAGGGGAACAGCGCTAGTAAAACGATAAACGTATAAAAAGCTGAAATTCTTTAAATATCATAAAAACCGATTACCACACGTTCCAGCGTAGTGAGATTGCCTCAGGGGCTATATACTCAACAGAGGTGGACGATGGATTATCTTTAACGGGAGATCTTTCGCGGGGGTCGCCTCACAAACTTTCTGCCTCCTCATCACCCCGTACCTCGCCAAGTTTCGATAAATGTACTTCGCGAGGATCGCCCCGTAAGCTTTCTGCTTCGTCGCCGCCTCGTCCACCGTCAACTCTTAATAAAAATTTCCTCTGACACTTCCTCATCGATCCTTCCGAGTCTGGAAAATCTCTGCTAACATAAACTATTCAGTGTCTCATCTTGGTTCACAAGAAGAATCATCACCTTTATTATAAAAATAGATCAAAATAAACATAACATCTTTCCCTCATAAGAAAAAATGTCCTTCGTTGGGCTCACATCGTAAAGTTCTTGCCTCGTTAAGCTTTCAGGAAATCTTCCTCGCGGGATCCGTCCCGTGAAGAATAGCGGGACTGCACGAGGGATCCTAGTCCTGATACTCATATCATAGATATAAATCAAGCAGCTACTGAGTGAAACAACCTTTCATCTCATGATATTATCTTTCCTAGGAATTCAGTCTCTATTTTATACGTGTTCAGTAGTGCAGATCTCTTCAATTCTCCCATTCGCATATTCAGAGATGGTCGCTTCCAAATAATGCTAGCTTCTAAATGTCGGGTGACCAATAGATACCTGAAATCCTATTGGTATTCGCAGCCAGTTAAGTTTTTTTAAGCATGAAGTTGCAGTGACACTTTCATTTTTTACACACTGCAGCTGCCATCATTTTCATGATGTGTCGACAGAAGTACAAGCACATTGTTTTATTTGTAATTATTGTTCAGACAAAAGAAGAGAGAATGGAACGAGATTGTACATACTGCAATATATCTTATAGAAATAAAACAATCACAGAAAATTGAAAACTATGCAGATGTCGACAGCTTCCTTCACAATTACTCTTTCGACGTGTCCCAAAAATATTTCAAAGTAGCAAGAAAAGATTTTTTAGGGAAGAGTACGTTTTTCAAAGAGACAATGTAACATCCTGAAGCATCTCGCTTAATACCTGTAACCTCAAAAAGACAGTTCACTAATAGGAGTATTTCTTGTTCGTCTTGAAACTCTGATATGCAAGGGAATTCATTCGATATTTTACACAGATTAATGGCAAAAGGGCATGGCTCGGGAAAATCAAGGATAAATAAAACACTAATGTTACTCGGATCATTTGTCTCGGCAAACTGCTCAGCCTTAGATCGCTCCAGTGATGTGGACATAATTGTTTGTGTTCTCAGGAGACTTCCTTTGTTTTCATGTGCCCAACGATATGCGCGTAGATTGTCTACGGTCGCTGACATTCCTCGATAAGAACGACCTTGAAATACTCGGTTGCGCAGCTGGGAAAGACTAACTAGAACGGTGGCACTAAAGGCATCATTGTCATGATGTAATGCTCGATAGAACGGTGTTTCTAGCGTAAAGAGATGAATCAAATGTATTACACGTCTAGTTTTCTGCAGTTTATCTAACAGATGATCAGCTTTTGCTCTTTCTGGATGGGATTCTGGGACATTCTCATTAACCTTTCTTCTAAGATCCTTGTAGCACCAGTCGATGTCAAGAAATTTTAAGTCATCGCCTGATTTAGATAAACCAAACCTGATAACTCTGTTTTTGCATAACCTCATAGCACATTGATCTCCAACAGTCTCATCAAGACTTTTGTATCCTTCCAGCCATTTATCCCTGTCAAACTCTTCTTTTTCATCGGTACCTATCTCTGAAGCGGCAGGCGGTGCAGTGATTTCGAAACTCTGGCTGCTGGCATCCCCACAAAATCGATTTCGTCCTTCTTGTGGTCTCTCAAACAGTTGTCGAATTTCATCCGTGGCTGCCTCTTCCCATGCAGTCAGACCATGTAAGTTCACTTTCGATCTCATACAGCCACCTTCCAACAACATTTTGACGATGTCACAGTGACCGTAGAATGCAGCTGCATGTAACGAAGTGTTCCCATTCGGCTCGAGCTGATTCAGCTCTCGAAATGTTCGCAGTGACAGCATTTGTCTCAACAGCTCAGCATCTCCATTTCTACATGCCATATAAAAATCGCTGGTATAAACCGATACTGGTCTCTTTAGCATTTTATTATCCGACTTTTGTTCGCTGTCTATATTGCCCATGATCTTGTCCATGATCATATCCATGATATTGCCTATGACATTGCCCATGATCTTGCTCTAGAAAGGAACGAGACGATTAGACTGTGTGTTTCTCGCAATAGTCTTCCGTGCAACTAAACAATTTCCATGTCGTATGCTCTAGGAACCTACTAAAATGCTTGTTTATGTTGCAGCAAGCGTTCTTGCTTGTGGATTGCAAGTAAGAGGTTTTCTCAGACCAGTGATACATATATGACGTGAGAGGAAAAATCGACATTTGTTATCGTCAGACGAATTTGTCTAAAACTGTGTGTATAGCGTTTTCATATCTATTACTTTATCAAGTTGTTTGAATTAAATATTGAGGGACGCTGGTTATTGAAATATTTTGGTACATTGTCGCACAAGTTCTTGCACGTTGCTACTAACGCTATTGACATGGAGTATAGAAAGAAACAGTCACCATAGTATATCGAAATGAACATTTCATCAATTCTATATTTACACTACCCACCGTTTCCTTTAATATTATAGTTTGACTTTAACAATAGTTCATTTGAGTTGTCAGATTATTAGGCAACGCGTATCTACATGATTGTGCCTTTAGAGCTAGCTTTCTGTTAATAAGATTAGCGAGCGCATGTCATGAAGATTTGATATTTGAGCATTGGAAACAGCTAAAACATTTCTACTGACTGCTCTTTTATTCCTCTCAAATACTTTTGTCTTTAACAGTATCCGAAGACAGTTTTATCGAAAACGTGGCATAAATAACAATAGAAGTTTTGAAATAAGTTGCATATTACATTGTCTGTTAGAGCCTCTCCTCTCTTTATTGCTTTAGCTCAAATTGTACA